ATTAAATTTTTGCAGTCATGATTTTGTAAGCCTTCTCACTGCCCGTATAGATGTCTTGTTGGATTTGTGACGATAATAATGTTATCACCGGTATATTGATTGTTCAAATGATTGTTTTGACACTGCGTTATTCATTGCTGTTACCTTCTGGTCATCCCATACATGCGTTCATTTTTCTTCTATGTTTTGGTCGTTTGTTACAATTGATGACTGTTGCAAATGATAATGAATGACGATAATGATTATATTGATATAGAATTATGATTTCTGACGTGCTTTGTTTTCGCTGACTTTTTTTGTCAGTTTTTTTTCTGAAATATCTTCTTGACAAGTACTTTTCATGAAGCTTATCCCTGTTAAAAGAAAAATGTGAATTTATCCTGTTATGACGATTGACCTGTTCTGGTAAAATTATATATATGTGTTATAACGGCATGCAACATGCTACTGATATGATATATGATGATGTCGCAATTATGATCAAAAATCCACTTTTCAAGGCTATACGGGTGCTGTTGTTATTTGCTCTATTTTCCATCCCTCTATGTTTTTTTTTGCTTTTTTACGTTTAATTTTCTCTTCAACCATTTATTGATTACCATTTTATAGTGCAAAGATTTTTTTTTTTGGAAAATGCGAACTCGTGTTGCATGATGGGATATAAGTGTGTGTGTGTGTGTGTGTGTGTGTGTGTGTGTGTGTGTATGTGTATGTGTATGTGCGCATATGTGTTATATGTCTGATTGATCATTTGTTTGTGTTTTCTGTTGGTTGGCTTATTTTGTTAATTCCAAACGTATAGCGGCACTGTGTTGTTCACTTCTCGAAGACGTTCAGGACTCTGTTCGATTTATCAACATCATACTTTTTTCTAGCATTCACTTTAACTGCAAATTCTTTTTACCACACACATTTCCGCTTCCTTCAAATTCTTTTTTTTATATCATCATAAATTCTTTCCTCTTTTGTTTCCCTTCAAATTTTATACACCTTACCAGGGAAGCTAGCCAATTATTTATGCTATATTATTTGCATAAACTTTTGCTTTTGGTAGCATCCTTAATGTGTGGATTTTTCAATAATGTTTCTGTTTTCTTGAGTTATCCTCTGGAATAATTTTCTACTTTAAAAATATTTTCATGCGTTTATTCGAAAGTTATATTTTTTTTGCATATTGTTAGGTGTTGTCTCTTATTTTAATTTATCAACTGCATACCTTTTATGTTATTCTTATAATGTTTTTTCTTTGCGTTTGATTTTTTATCAGCTCTTCACTGATTTGTTTTTTTCCCAATCTATGTTAAAATGTTTTTTTTTTCTTTTAAATTCATAATTGTTTGAAAGGATTTGTACTCTTTATTTACACACCTTGTTGGTTACAGTTTTTCCATTCATTTGTATCCTTATTTTGAGGTGTTTTCATACATGAACGGTAATAAACTATCAGAAATAAAATTTGTAATGCATTTAGCAATGGATAAGTCATATATTTTTGCCTTATTTAGGATGCATGAGCGTTAATGTATCGATGATTACAAATTAATATTCAATTTTTCTATCAAAATTGTTTCTTGTCGAATGTGAAATTAAGTTATTCTGAAATACTAATTAGTGGGAAAGCTGCAAGTTGGAAGAAATGACTAAAAGAAAAAAGAATTCGTTCGTAAAAAGTATCAGCGGTGGCTTATTTGCTTCCGATTTATTCCCGCTAAATTCATGTTTTCTGAACTATGCACTGATTACTTCGAATGATATTCTAATTTAGTGAAGATGTCACATAAGGAACTATTTATTGGACAGTTAGCTATTGATAATATTTTTGCTTTGCTTAATGGAAAACTTTCTCCTATATCAGTGGACTAGGTTTTATTACATAGTAAGAAATCTAATTGGAATTCTAAATGAATTTAGATAAATTAAATTTAAATCTGTCTTGCAAATATAAAAGATTATGAATTCTATTTATTTACTTTTGTGCGAAGCAACATGTTCTACGGTACGTTTAGTTGGAAACTGTAATTTTGAGGTATTTAAGTAAGTAGGTCTCAAAATTAAGAACGAATAACGTAATAAGTAAGCAAGAAATGAATAATGTCATGTCACATGATTGGTTTGAACTCTAACTGGATACTGAAGATGTTAATTAAGTAGGTTAGGTTAAAGATAGGTAACACTTTCTATGAATGTTAAATGAACATCCATAGTTATTGTAACTTTTATTCATATTATATTATATTTACTACTTATCATTCGCTTACAATATTCCAACATTAGTGAAAAAGAAATTTTTTTTTGGAATGGCGGATAATGTAAAAATCAGCGCCTAAATTGCAAGGGTTTTTATTTAGCAAACTTTTTGCTGTAATGCACAATTCTAAACTTTCTCATTTTATGTTTAATTGTTCTTTTGAAGGTACTGTCAATTTTCCACTTTTCATTTTTCGGTATTATTAATAAATATTGATCGAAAAAGCGATTTATTCAAAATTGTAAAAATAATGAAAATGTAACATTTTGCATAGATTTCATTTTACATCTTATTAAAATTCGTTTTTCTTTTTTGTTAATGGGGGAGGAAGGGAAGGGGATAATAGAATCCTCAGAAAATTACTGTATACCCCGATAACAATGAGAAATCTTTGCATATATTTCACATGTAGTGATAATAGCGCCTAAAATTAATACCTAAAATAATAATAGCGCACAAAATTTAGCATTTACTAATTTGCGTAATCTATTTCACTAATGATAATTCTTAATAAAAGAATTGAAATATTTACATATTCATTAGTGAATAAAAAAAATTCATTGCTAAAATGGAACTGTAGCAAATAGCATTTGTTGACTTTTAATATTGGATGGTTTTTGTTCGGTATGTTCATTTCTTCCGTTGAATAGTTTTTTTTTTTTATATGCCTTACTGTATATTTTTGTACGAACAGTCATTTTTGTTGTCTTAAGCTACTGAATATCATTTCAATCATGATTTTCACTCTTTTGATCCAATTGAATAATTTTAATAAATCTATAAAATCTAGTAATTGGAATATTAAATTTCTTGTCTCTTCATTAAAAATCACAACTATTTGCTAATAGTCTCATTTATTTATGTTACTTTCAAAACAAGTGAATTTTATTAGGTCTTTAAAAGATCACGCGCCTTAATAAATTAATTTTTATGCGAATGATAGTATTTTTTAACTCTGTTAAAATAAGACAACAAAATATTTGCTTGTAAAAGTTTAAATTATGTCCAAAAAATGTTGATGCATATTGATATCAATTACGATCAAAAGATCGAAATCAAAAATTATTCGCTAGCGATCATTTTGTGTTGTAAATCTCTTTTACATTTTATCTACATGTCCAGTTTTATCAACGATATATTCATCAGGAAATGCGCAGTCGGTCAAAGCGATATGGCTATTTCAGTTTTTCCTTTACATTACAGAGAAAGAACGCCTGCGGTACTGAAAAATAACAAAGCAAATATCATTCCCAAAAAAAGATATCATTTCTAAAATTGCTCTTTACATATTTGACATATTCAACCCTATGTGTTAGCATAAATTTTACATTAATTGTATAACAAAAAAGAACCGTTGTGAAAATGCCTTTTTATCTTGCAAATGAAAAAGGAAACATTTTTGATCGATAATATTTACATGAAAATAATTGCCTTAAAATAAAAAGAAGAAAAAAAGAAATAATTTCTGAAAAAGAAATTTTTGCGCAAACAGATTTTTCTAGCTCCATGAGTTTTTTTTTTTGCTGTAATTCAAAGGAGAGTCACATCCGATTGCGTGCAGAATTATGTGAACGTTTCTTCCTCTAATCGTTGTTGTGCGTATTCTGCAATAATCAGTAATAAATAATTTGAAAAATGAAGGAATCGCAGGATCTAATATTACTGGTGGAGAATGTTAATAAAGAATTAAAATTTTTTCAACTGATTGTTCTATTGGAGAGAAATATGAATATGTATTAGTGTAGATTATTTAGCATAAAACATACATTCCACTTTTAAATTTTTCCATTGATATTTCATCGATAAAAAAAGATAATAAATAGATGGCGGTGATCGATAAAAAGATAATGAAAGAAGTTAGTGATATTGAAGTGCGAGCTAATCAGAGAGTAATGAACAATAAATAGTAGCAGTGATCGAGAAACATGCAATTTCATTCAGTCTTTTCATTTCATTTTTGCTTTTATTAGCCAAGTTTTCGCTGGAATTAAAGGAAAGTCAATTCTGAGCTATCCTTAGGATTGGTGATTAAAATGCAAAAAAGTGATACAAATTTTTTTATACAACAATGACATTTGGGCTTGTTTAGCTCATGCATATTGCTTCAACTATCGATAATTGATGAATTTACTGTGATCATTGATTAAAATTATAGGATCGTGATATTTTCTCTATTTCTAAGTTTCAAATTTTTGTTTGTTTAAATTAATTGTTCTTTTTCTTCAAATAGATAAAAATAATTACGTATTTTAATATATTAGTACCACTCTTTCGTTCGTGACAAGAAAATAAGACAGAGAACACTTTGGAATAGATAAATAAAATAGAAGTGATAAAAAGGAAGAAGGTGATGATGTGATGATAGGAAAGAAGGTGATATGTGACTCTACTGATAAGTAATACACACGACGTGTTGTGTTGACTGATTAAATTTCCTGCTACCTTGACAAAAGAATGCTTGATTTAATGATTTGAAAGATAACTAATTGGTTTGGGATAAATGAGTTAATTAAGGATTCATCGTTTGCATAAAATCACCAATTCGCACAGACGACTTTATTCTTTTTTGAAAATTTTATTTAAAACCTTTGGAAATTGAAAGAGAAATTTGATATAAACTGAATTTAAATTTTTGCCTGCAATTAATGAGTTGTCAATTTTAGAATGAGTCAAAAATACGAATGATACGATGAATATTTGGGCTTAAAAGAACATTCCTTGAATTATATTTTGATTTTTAAATGTTATCATATCATACATTTAAAGTAATTTTTGCAGATGGCCCTAGATAATTTTTCCGTTTTGGTGCCATATTACGCTCAATGATATCATATGCCATAGCAATGATCGATTCTTTTGGATCTATAAATTCTATTCCAAGAATTTCTTTAGCCTGAAATTAAATTATTATTGACCGATTTGGGTAAGCTAAGGTTATCACTTTTGCTTATCATTAATTCATGAACAAAAACACGATAATGATAACTTACGAGAGAGTTATCAAAACGTGCTTCATTACCAAAACGATTCAGTATCTGCTGTTTTGCTTCCTTGCTGAACAATGAATAAAGCCATGCTACCGCATATGGTACTGTAAATCTTGGAAAAGTGTAACCTAAAATTGATGATATTATTAATTCATCGCAACAGTGATAAATAATAGGACAACAATGATAAGAAGATAAATTCTGTCTGACCTTGCGATGAAAATTCATCACGAAGAACATTAGCAATATCCATAAACCAAAAACTTGGCTGATAACTTAGTAGAATTCGTAATCCATCGCTACGAGGTTCTCGCATTGCACGTATATGTGCTTGTGCTACATTACGGACGTCTACTAAACCAAACTGAACAGCTGGTACTGCGGGAATTTCATTATTTAAGAAACGACTTATTATCTAAAAAAAAGTAGTTTGTTTTATATCGATTAATTTTGGCAATAATTTAAAAGAACAACGATATCACAAATGATCAAATCGCTAGAAAGAACTGGACAAAGGAGGTTTAGGTCGTTCTTTTTCCAGTTGATCATAATTTTTCACTAAAGAAAATTTTACCTTGATACTTGTTCCCTGTACATTATGAAGAAGAGGTCCAACAACAAGCGACGGATTGATTACAGTCAACTTGAATTTAACGTCTAAAAATTGAAAAGGAATTTGATAATTTCAAATGTTAAGTACTGCTTTGAAAAAGTTTGATAAATTATTCTGTATCATAAATAAATAAATTTTTCAGTCGTTTTTATCATTAATGAATTGAATTCGTTTATTCTACAATTTAGACTATAATAGGGATTTGATTTTTGAACACAAATTGTAGTTCAATTATCAGAATGGAAAAAAGTTCAGATGTAACACATTTCAAGATAGTTCCTAGCAAAAAAATCAACCTTCCTTGTGGACAAAATCCCATGCAGCTTTCTCGGCAAATGTTTTACTCTTCACATAATCATTTACATTTCCCGTCTCAGTATTGCTCCAATCATTTTCGGTAAATGTTCGCGTCGTATCCGCGTGACCTTCTACAATACATTATTGACTGATAACGTGACATCTGTGTGTGTTCTTTTTTAATTTTTCTTTACTTCAAATGGAAGAAAAAAAAAACTAAAATATCTTGAAGGCCCTTTATTCCAAATGTTTTCAGATAAAGTTTGGATTGCAAAACTAGCTGATATCGATATATGCTTAACGATATCCACTCGCTATATCTTTTTTATCTTTAAATCATTTCACACGATGTAAAGTCCGAGCGATATTTTAATCCCTTCCCTCATATTTTCATTAATTAAATCTGCTCTCCTTATTTTGCATTATTTATTAATAAATGAATGAGATTTGGATAATTCCTACCATTGATGGCAGCACTGGAACTGGTAAGAACAACTTTTTTAACGGATGATTTTGCGGCAGCTCGTAGCACTCGCAGTGTACCGTTTATTGCAGTTGAAATGACCGATTCATCAGTGACGATCGGGAATGGACTCGCAACATGTAAAACGTAAGTACAATCAGTTGTTGCTCTAAAAAAGATAACAATGTTATCAAAAATGAAAATGAAAAAAAATGATAATTTAAGCATATCATTGAAAATAGATTTTTGATTGAAATAGAACAGAAAACGGGAAGAAGAAATCAAGAATTTCCGATTCTGTATCTCGGAAAGAAAAGGTATGAGAATCGAAGAAAAGAAAAAATCCTTGCATTTAAGCTATAAGCAAACTGATCACATAAGTATAAAAGTGGAGAAAACGAACTGCTGCCATCCTTCATCACTTTCCAGGTCTGCTTCAACCAATTCCAACCGTTCTGCAGCTCCTTCAAGCTGTTTCAATGGTTCAATTTTGATGTGATTATTGAGGTCACGCACGGTGCCACGTACGGTATAATTTTCCTTCAAAAGCTGATGAACACAGTGTATGGCAATATAACCTGACGCACCGGTAACAAGTACCTCTGTAATTTCAATCATTTCTAAATTCTAATTAATATGCAATTCAGCTTGTTCCGATTAAAAATGCAACTGACTGATTTTTTTTTTTTTTAACATGAATTCGAGAAAAATACAACTCACTGATGTTCCGATTCGTTTCCATTTGTTAAGCAAAAACTGAAATGAATTTGAATTCATAAAAGGGATAATTCTAAATTAAAATGATGCATTATGGCAATGAAAAGACAATCATTCAATTCGCGCATCATATCACCTTTTTCTTTATAGTGTGTTTTCAAATTACTCGAAAATGGAAAGGAGTGCAAAAGGTATGAATGAGTATACAAATGTCACATAAGGGAAAAGGGATATTGATTCGCTTTTTTCTATGACAAAGAAATGGCTCGTTTCTTGATAACATTTATCTTGAAGAGAGATGAAATTTCAAAAAGTTAAATCTTGAAAAAATTAGCAGACTTATGCAGATGATACATCTATAACATTATATAGCATTACTCCATTATTCGCTTGAAATATATATTCAAGTGGTTGTTAAAAAAAAAAATGGAATATAAATAAAAATTACAATATTATTTCATCATCAATCGGTGCTTTTCTGGATATTATGAACAAAAGAAAAAAAGAAATTAAAATTGAAAAAACTTCAATAAAGAAAAAAAAAATACAACAGAGATCATTTCATAAATACGAATTAAATGTAATGATGTCGACAGGAGCGCATGGTTTGAAGGACGGACATTCTGAGGGAAGAGGGGGGGAAGGAGTGAAAGAAAAGGTAGGAATTTGGTGACAACAACGGTGTCATCTCCTCTCCACAGATTAACACCGATGTGTACATATACACACATACACACACACACACACACA